TTTTTTTTATATTTAAAAATTGCGTAAAAATACTATAAATCATGATAATTGACAACATAAAATATTTCAAAAATATTGTATGTGGGTACTCTTATTATGCCTTAAATAGCGTCAAAGAAAGTACAGGTTTGTGATAAAAAAACTTATTCCTTTATCCACGCAAACAATCGCTTCAAAAACTCGGTTATTAGCCCCAAAATATACCATTTATATGATTGGGCCCGTGCATAGCACGGGCAACATTATCTAGTTTGGTGATAAATATAAGTGAAAAGAAAAAATAAAAATAATTTTTTGGTGTTTTTCAAATTTCTGAAAAAATTTGCCATGAAAATTGTTCACTAGACTCCAGAAAACACATTTTGCCATAAAATTCTAAAAATTAACCTCAAATTAAATTTCAGGTTTTTTCAAGAATTTGAATTTTATTTTATTTTTCACTTCATTTTAATTCATAAAATGTTAAAACGCAACTCCAATTTATATTTGTGACCGTACACAATTGCATGCAAATTTCAAATATCATTTTTCACTTTGAAAACAAAAATTCTATATATATTTTACAAATTTCACAATGAAACATGATCAAACGCTCACAAATAATCGAAGAAAAAGAGAAATAATAGCGTTTGTCCATTGTGTGTGTTTTTTTTAATAAAAATACTTTTTTCCGGAGTTGATATGAAATAAAAATAAAACACAAGAAGCCATATTATCATGTTCGGATTTTGTAAAAAAATCTTTTTACATGTTAAAAGAACGTTATAAAAGAAAATTTGAAAAAAAAAAGGTAACCATTCGAAAACAGTACAACGATTCCCATTAATATTAATAGTCACTTGAAAGAAACTAACAATTCTGTTCCTATAAATCACTCACAAATGCGTCAAAATTGCTCACTTTTTTCAATGGCAGAGGAAAATCACCAATTAAAAATTGATTTAATCTCAAATGAAATAAGAGAAATAGCATATAAGGGACAACAAGCAACAATATATCAAATTGGTGATGAAGTTGAAGTTGCAAGTCAAGTATTAGGCTTCATAGGTTCTTACTTACATGCAACTATTCTTTATCCCGTTGGCGCTTTACATTATAAAGTTCAATACAAGACTCTCGTGACTGATGATGAAACCGCGCCATTACAGGAGACTGTACGTGTCTCTGAGGTCCGTCCTGTTCCACCTACTCTTCCACCTGCAAGGTCAATGGTAACCTATGCTATTGTAGATGTGTATGACAAAGAGGCCTGGTGGTTCGGGGTCATTACTGGGGAAGATGAAGAAAATTACCATGTCTATTTTCCTACTACTGGGGAGCACGTTGCGTATTCTACTGATAAGTTGAGGTTTCATCAAGAATGGTCTAATGGCCAATGGATATTTCCTTCATTAGGAAGGACTGATTTTTTATAGTTGTACTGATTTGGAGAAATTCTTTTGTTATTGTAGTGTGATAAGTTTCTACATGTTTAAGAACTTTGTTACATTCTTTTTTTTCAATATTTCGATTGAATTTGCCTGATAAGCATTTGCATTTTGCATTTTCATGTTGCCTTTGATTAAAACTCTGTTTTGGGTACTGCATTTGGCCAACCACTTTAATGTCACAGAATTCTGGTGCTTTCTTTTTAACATATTCTGCGATGTTTTGTCCCTTCCTCGTTAGCCTGAAATGGATAAACAATAGCAGTTTATCACCCTTGATATATTTCATGTTGCATAGTTTATTTAGCAATGTGTTACCTTGTGGGGCGCGATGGACTAGTTCCAATGACAATGCTGGTAATGTTGACAATAGGAATAATGTCAAGTAATGCTTCTGCTGGTGAATTGCTTTCGACAAGCACAGTGTCAACTGCTACCTAGTAGTTAAAGTAATGTCATGAAACAAAGTTTTTGGGAATTTGGATGTGGAGTTTCCAATTAGTATATAGACTTGCACTCGATCATTTTAGCATCGTTGCATAGACGGATGTATTGTTCTAAGAGATTCTTCCTCCTGTTACTCTCTTCATTGATGTAGACTTACACTTGCATTTTGCTCAATTGGCTTCTTGATAAGTTCCCTACTATCATACAAAATTCAACTTAGCAATGTTTGTTGGCATTCATTTTGTTGTTTTTCATCAAAGTTCATAAGCATCATCTGTCCAATTTTAACAGAATTAAACATATTGAGTCGTAGTATCGGTAGGCTGATCTGCATCTGTCAAAAATGAGACAGCAGATCGAAACAAAGAACGTTGAACCAATATATTCAGTATTACTCTTCATGTTCTTGAATTTCCTGATTTTTTCGATAAATTGACAGTCCCACTGATGTGATGTCTTGATTATACTATCGCGTTTGTGATATATCTACAGTTACATCAATCAAAAACTAAAATGAAGAAGGAAATTGAGTGGAGAAACAGATAGCAAATTGACCTTACCAAACACTCATGATCTCCTATATCTGTTTAGATACAAGTATGGAGTGCAAGAGTAATAGTATAAAATTATCTGGTGTATGTATATAGTTAATGGGAGGAAAAATGTGCATGAGGAAGATGCAAAATCCGGGGAAAATAGCATGATCAAGTGCCCATTGAACAACATACAAGTCATTGTCTGTGTAGCAATAGAAATGATTTCTTTATGAACAAAACATCGTCGAGTTATATGACAGAGAACTTAATAACAAAAACTTAATGTTCACTATTACAGTAAGCTAAAGTACTGGGAAAAAAACATGTCACATTCTTGTTTCCAACGTTTCAATCGAATTTTCTGGAAAAGCATATGCATTCAAGGAAATTCCTATCAGAATTTCTTGTAATCTCAGGCTGCGTTCGATTAAAACTTTGTTTAAGCTGCTGCACTTGGCTAACCACTTTAACCTCACAGAATTTTGGTGCATTTTTTTGAACATATTCTCCTATATCTTGTCCCTTCTTTACTAGCCTGAAATTGACAAATAATAGCATTATAGCATGCTTGAACTTTGATAATTTCATGTTATGGTGGAAAACTATGTTTACCTCGTGGAACGCGATGGCCTGGTTCCAATAACAATGCTGGTAATGTTGACAATAGGAATAAGGTCAAGTAATGCTTTAGCTGGTGAATTGCTTTCTACAAGCATAGTATCAACTGGTACCTAGCAGCCAAAGTAAAATCAAGAACTGTCATGTAACAATGTTTTCGAATTTTGGATGGAAGTTTCTGATTGATACAGGCTAGAACTTACTTTGGCATCGTTGCATAGGCGAATGTATCTCTGCAAGAGAGACTTCCTCCTGTTATTCTCTTCATTGATGTAGACTTGCACTTGCTCTTTGCTCAATTGGCTTCTTGATAAGTTCCCAACTATCGTACAAAATTCAACATATATAGCAATGTTCGTTAGCAAGCCCTTTCATTTTGCTTTTATTACATCAAATTTTCCTTAGTTCCTAGAAGAAAAAAATAGCTTGGTGCTCAAAGCATCTCGCGTTTCACGCAGGATCAAGGGAAACATAGCGTCCATGGAGGTGTGTAATGTAAGCAGTCTATCCTAATACAAGTATCAGTGCAAGGCATCCTACATTCATGTATGGTACGTGGAAGGGCCACACCCTAAGGGGGTTTAATATAAGCACCCTGCCCTGATGCACTTGTTAGTGGCTGATCCACGGCTCGAACCTATAATCTATATGTCACAAGTTCGAGTCAATTTTACCAGTGATCCAAGGCTCCCCGAACCTTTGTTCCTAGAAAGTATTCACCTATTAACTAACTTTTATCTGACTTAAGACTAGATATATGGTGAAAAATCCTAGGATTCCTGTCACTAATGAGACAGCAGCAGCAACAAGAAAATTGAACCATTATATTCAATATACTCTTTCATGTTCTTGAATTTCCTGATTTTTTAATAAATCGCGACACTCCTCATATGTGATATTGAATATAAGATATGTATGTGCAAGAACAATAGTTACCTGGTGTTGGAATGTACTTAATGGTAGGAAAAATATGCATGAGGAAGATGCGAAATCCAGGGGAAACAGCATGATCAAGTGCCCATTGAACAACATACAAGTCATTTTTCCCAACAACTACATAAACATCATTAGTTTCTGCATCTTTTATAGTAGTACTCTTGCTATCTTCTCCAATCTCTTCGATTTCCCTAGACATCTCTTCTACAAATCCTGAATATAGCCGGTAACAACGATACTAGTTGTTCTCAGTTCTGGTCCCTCATCTCAGTTTTCATCTCAAGGAAAAACAAGAGTAAATGCTTAAAGAATGATGGTGGTTTCTAGCAAAGACACCAACAATATAATTTTTTTGTCAAGTTGTGGAGTGTTTCTTGGATATGTCACAACTCACAGTCTATGTAACAACTGTTCCTTTTATGTAAAAAGAAACTTTTTTTAATGCTTAAAGAAAAGAATGATGGTGATTGCTAGCAAAGACACCAATAAAATGAAAAAAGTTTTATAAATATTTTTTTTTGTCAACATCTGTAGGGCATACCATATTCTAAGTAACAACTGTTCCTTTTATGTAAAAGAAACCTTTTTTTTTTTCTCATGGGAAAGTTTTCTTGGACCATATCACAATTTTATGATAGTGCAAGTCAATTTCTAATGCTTTGATTTTTCTCTTTTTCCTTTACTTATGATCTATTTTTTCCCCAGAATTGTCACTTTCTATGCTTTAGGATCAAAATGTATAGTCTATGCAACACATCTAGCTATTACTACTAACCATATAGAATTAAAAGTATCCGATGGAGTCAGACATTTTACTAAGGAGTGTTAAGATATAAAAATGTAACACACTCGAAACACAACAATACTACTAACCATATAGAATTAAAGTATCCGATGGAGTCAGACATTTTAATAAGGAGTGTTAAGATATAAAAATGTAACACACCCGAAGCACAAAAACACAACAAAAAAGAAGGGAGTCTGTCAGACAGCCATGGGACCATCCTAGGCCTGAAATCAGGTCCAAGAACGATCATCTACTGCACCACAGCTCGAGGAGCCATGGTAGGCTGTTAATCACGCTCTGGTCAAATGGCCATGCTTCATCAACCAGACTTGGTTTCTTGTCTCCTTAAAAATCAAGGATACAGTGGTACGAGCCTATAGAACAGATCATGTTCAAGTAAGGTCGTGACATATGGTACTGGAACGGAGCCTATAAGGCTGTAGCTTTTGTGTTCCACTCCCGATGTGGGAGTAATATATTGGCCCGTCACGCTGTCAATTGAAATACAAATTAATAAATGGACCTTACTTTTCTGGTTTTTTTTAATTGTTTATAGAAAAATAATTATGTACAACTGTAATAATTTTGTTGTAAGGTCATCAGTTTTGTAGAAATTATTATCCTAAAACTCTCTGATCTCTAAACAATCATAAATCAGTTATCTTAGATGAACTTGTGTTTACTATGCAATATATAAATAAGATTCCAAAAGCAACAATATACAGGTATTGAGAGGGGAATTGTTAGGTAACGCCAATATTCTATCAATGACAAGGCTCACGAGAGAGATTGGGTTGGCAGCAAAAGATGTAAACAAGAATATATATGTCGATTTCAAAAGCTACAAGAAAAGTTAAATATTATCGACTCATCTTTGTATGGATGTATAAAGTATGCTTTTACTTTAGACTTCTCAGACATATATATATATATATGCATGAATTTCGTCCATCTTTTTCTTCATCTGATTTTAAATGTGCATGAAAAATCAACGTCAGTATCAATTTGGTGCATAGTATGATTGTGTAACTCTCAAGTCTGAAATAAGAAGCTACAATTTTGCAGTTGGCCATACCCTGTTGACAACATCACCTAATTTACAAACGTTAAACTTTTGTACATTAATCGTATAAAATTGTTTAACACTAATATGTCACTTTAAAGATAATTTCTGGTAATTAATCATAACATTAACTGGAAAAAACTTCAATTTTACAAGTAGTTATATTGGAATGATATTACAAATTTTTGTTTAACCATACGGGCGATATATGGGTGGCAAAATCAAGTCCAGCCCGTCCAACTTGACCCAATCCATTAAGGTTTGGGTTGGTTATTGACTCACCCATAACCCATTTATTAGCTCAATCATCTCATTTCAACCCATTAAAAATTGGGTTGATATGTAACTCAAATTGACTTTTTGAGAAATCTTATCAAAATATTATTAATAAACTTTTATTTTATTTTATATGCTATATATAGCTATAATAAAGAAAATAATGATTTTATTAGGTACTAAAAGCTTACAAAATAACAAATAAAGCTATTAAAACTTAGTAAAAATTAGACGGATTGGGTTATGATCCGTTACTAATCCATTTTGGCCCAAATAAATTTGGTTGGGTTGGGTCTTAACCTGTGTATTGTCTTGACATATTTTG